TCTGTGAACCTCAGATAGCTTTCACCAATCTCTGCTCCCAGCTGCTTGCTAGGTTTTCTACAGGACTTAATTTTTTTTTTTTTTCCTTTGCCCACTGTCGTGGTTTAACCTCAGCTGGCAATTAAGCACCACACAGCCGCTCGCTCACTCTCCCCCCACAGTGGGATGGGGGAAAGAATCGGAAGAGTAAAAGTGAGAAAACTCGTGGGTTGAGATAAAGACAGTTTAATAGGTAAAGCAAAAGCCGCGCACACAAGCAAAGCAAAACCAGGAATTCATTCACTCCTTCCCATCGGCAGGCAGGTGTTCAGCCACCTCCAGGAAAGCAGGGCTCCATCACGCATAATGGTTACTTGGGAAGACAAACGCCATCACTCCAAACGTCCCCCCCTTCCTTCTTCTTCCCCCAGCTTTATATACTGAGCATGACGTCACATGGTATGGAATATCCCTTTGGCCAGTTGGGGTCAGCTGTCCTGGCTGTGCCCCCTCCCAGCTTCTTGTGCACCTCCAGCCTTCTCAGTTGGTAGAGCATGGGAAGCTGAAAAGTCCTTGACTAGTGTAAACACTACCTAGCAACAACTAAAACATCTGTGTGTTATCAACATTGTTCTCACCCTAAATCCAAAACACAGCACTGTACCAGCTACTAGGAAGGAAATTAACTCTATCCCTGCCAAAACCAGGACACCCACTTGTTTGTAGCTAAGAGCAGGAATATGCTGTCATTGCATAAACATTAAAATAATAATTCTTCTGTTTGTAGTGTCGTCCTGCTCCAACACTAGGGCAAGTAGAAAAGCAGCAATATAGAAGTATGAATGGCAAGTAAGTACTTTCAACCTGCTGTGACCAATGAATGAATGTCTACAATAGAAGAAGGCTCTGAATAGGAAAGATGAAGTTATCACGAAGGTGACCAGGAGGTGGTCTTTGTTCTAGATAAATGGTTTTATCAGCCAAGTGGATCAACTAGCTGTATGAGTTGAGCAAATCAAGCAGTTATATCATCTGAGTGAACCAATGAGTTGTGTAAGTGTCTCTGACTTTATCAGAAGAGTGCAAATATCTTCCTGAGTTAGCCAGACCAGCATGGGGGTGTAGATCTGGCTCTCACCAACATAGAATATAAAAAACTGAATAATCAACAACAAGAACTTCAGAGAGAGTAATGGGCCTGAGCTAGTTTCAACCCACCTATTCCTTCCTGACAACCAGGCTGTCCAGCCTCATGACAGTGAGTATGTTACAGACAGCATATGGTGGCTATCAATCACATTTGTATTTTGCTTTAGCTGTATATTGCTGTTGCTATACTCCATTAAATGTAATTTGTACTTGCATTGTCATATAAGTACATTGCTGTATCACTCTTCTAAATCAAAGTCCTGTATAACATCAACTAACTTCAAGAAAGTAAACTTGGTATTAAACATTAAGTCCTCCACTTGTGTAATACCTAAAAGAACCTGCTCACATAATATTAGACTCTGACACCTGCTTGTTTCCAGTAGTAGCTACTACTGTCACCACTAGATAATCAAAACCTAGCCCTGAACCTGAACAGGACAGAACAGACCACATCTGGTTAATAAGAAATTAACTGAAGTCACAGATTATATCAGTGCTCAAGGCAACAAAAAGTGAGTATTATCTTTGACGTATTTCTAGCAATATCTGATTTTGGAATTGACTTAAACCTGATCCAATTTCAATCACTCATTTGCAATCCAAATTATAAAACACAGTTACATATTCTGTGTAGTAACAGGATTAATAATCAGTATGATGTATGACAGATTATATTAATGTTAATAAATCATTAACTTTATGGATTTTATTTCATAGACACCCATGGAATTCAGCTATCTGCAACAACTTAGCATTTACCTTCTTATGTGCCACAAAATATTTTATAATACTGTGGATTAGCCAGGTGAAAATCAGTGCTAAATGCAACATGACAGCACCTGCAAAAGCAAAGCTTAACCCTTTACCCTAGTACAAAAGCTTTACAGTAGTGTATTTCTTTGTTGTACGACTTAACAGCATCAGCACAAACAGCCATCAGTACAATTCTGTTAACATTGTCATAATACTTATTTTCTGTATTTTCCTGTATGGTTTCCTGTTCCCCAGTACTCTTATCTGTGACTGATTAAAAGGGACACTAAAGAAAAAATATGGGGATAGTATGAGTAATCTCTTTGATTAATACCCTCACTACTCAAGCTCACCTCTTCACTACTGTGTATACTCTGTGTCTGATTTGATTTATTTAATAGATGCTTTACAGGGAAAGAAAGCATAGTTTGTCTGGCTGTTATCTGTCTGACATTGTGTCCTCCATTAATATTGTTCCTGTTTTTTACTACCTGGAAGGTATCTCTCTTGCAGTTAATTAGCTGTTTCGAAACAATGGGGTTAATTCAAATTGCACTGGTGGATGGAGTTAGAGTTGGGCAGAATTTGGGTGTCTAAGCTCAGGAGAAGATTCAGATCACCTACTGTCCATATCTGCCAGATCCTTGAGGAACAAAAGTCTCAGACTGAGCTGTCAGTGCCTAAAGCTTCTTTGCAATTCTTAAATGAGTAGAGAATTCACTCCCTTCCACAGAAGACCCCAGGAGACCTAGTGCATTTGGTGTGTACAGACTGTACACTGACAGGTAAACATTGAATTCAGACCAATATTCAGTCTAAACTATCTATTTGTTGAAAAGAAATGTGTAGACATACCTTTGGGACTTCTTACTACTAGTGACTGACTCTACTGCCCTAATACTCTTTGCCCTGGCTCAGAGACAGGCAGTGCTATGACATTTTACACACACACACACACACACACACAAAAATCTCTCTCTCTCTCTCTCTCTCTCTCTCTCAAAAGGATTTCTAATTGTTCAGCTGCTTAGCATACATATATATCTGTTGCCTTGTTTAATGTCAGTTCCATCTCTCATTAAGTGTTTATATACTTTTTTTTTATTATGCCCTGAAACGATCTACTGTTTAATTAGATATTAACAGGACTTAACAGATATTAAGAGCCATATTAACAGGACTGGCTTTTTAGTTTTAAGTCTCTGACAAGTTCGTCTATTCCTTTTCCCTACAATACCCTTTAAACATTTTTATCTATTCAAAGTTTCATTACTCGTTATTTCTATCACCTTCATGAGATACACCAGACATAGATAATGCTTTTGTGCCTGCCACATAGAAATCTTTACCTCATCCTTCAGTTCAATTCCTTCGTAGTTCTTATATATAAATTAAATTGTCATCTGAGCCTGTAGCAGGCTTATACAGCATTTCCTGTCATTCTGAGGGCTGGTGAACTGCAGCAAACACTTGGTTACAGGTAAACTACAGCAACCACTATAAAGTTTTCTCTTCCATTGAATCTTCTTGCAATATGTCCCAGTTACTTCTCATTTCTTACAAAAGCAGGAATAGTTCCACACAAACCATTTTTGTAAAAAAAAAAAAAAAAAAAAAAATCAAGATCTCTCTTTTTTCTGTTTTCCAATGCACAGAATTTTCTAGTAACACCACAGTTAGAGTATCCAGAAAGTATGGACACTAAAGTGCTCCACAGCATCTTCCCTTTGCTTAAGGATATAGCTGTGATGACACCTACCCTGACCACTGAAAACTTGTTCTCAGTGCCTGCTTATCTCTAATGGTTTTGGTTCCACATCTACACAGGAGAATTGTCCTGAATACCATCGAGGGAGAGATTCTGCAGGGGAAAGGAAGGAATATCCTTGAACACTCCTTATAAAGTCGTGTCCTTATGTTGCAAGCAATGCAGCATATATCAAGCTAGAAGGTGAATAAGCACAAGTGACCTATAACATAGTTAAAGGGGAACACCTTTAGCAGGGTTCCTGTTTCTGTTCTGGTGTTGAGCTGCCACTTAGACAACAACATCTCACCTATACATACTTACTGTTTATATGAAGTCTGGAGCATGTTGAAATAAAGTCAATACATCTCCAACAGCATGGGAAACAGTTTTCAGGTTATTACATGAAAGCTCCGGGTCTTGGGGCTGTTACAAGAGTTTGTGAAACTACATATTATGGTAAAATTATAGGAAACAAAACTTCTCTCCAGCCTCAAAAAGTATATCAAAACCAAGAAAACTTTTCAAAAACAGAGAAACCTTTTCATTTTGATTTGGTTCACCTAAGTTCCTGCTTACCTTAGTAAATAGGGTGAGAACTGTCAATGAACTTGAATAACTTGCTATCATGATTCAGAGTCTGACAGAGACATAAATTCAGTTGCCTAAACATATGTATTTGTGGCAACAAATTGCATTTATGCTGCCTGATGGTGTCCAAAACATCCTCACAGACCTGGTAGATAAGAGATGAAGAAACTCATGCTATGTCTGCACCACAGGCTGGAGTCCAAGCAGGTATTGCAAGTATCTCAAATGATACGCAGATTTTGGCAGCTGCATATGGCCCAGAATTTAATCCATGTATGTATATTTTTAGACAAGTAGTTTTTAGCACCAGCAGGCCAACTTTGATCTCTGATTTTAATGTGCTTCATAACACAAATGAAAGAACCTCAGCTAAGAAATATTACTTTTGTTTTTGCAATAGCATGCCCTTTGGAATGATGCCTAACCTTGACTTAAAAGGCTGAAATTGATGAGAATACATCATAGCGCTAGATCAGTTATAAAATGATTTATTACCTCCATGTTAAAAACCTACTCTTTTGTCCAGTTTTGGCATCTAACTATCAAATCTCATTAGGTCTATTTCTGCCAATTTAAAATACTATTTGCCAACAAAAAAACCCAAAACAGCAAACCTGCAGCCTATTTATTTCCAGGCCATCATCCTGACAGTTCAAAATTCCACGTATAGGGAAAGAGCGTGTGTGGGGATGGGAATCTCACTAACGGATGTACACTTGCTTGCTATAAAAGATGTTAACAAAAAGCAATAAAGGTCTCTGGTTGCCGTGCCCCAGAGTCCGTGCTGCTTTAATCCCCCACAAATGGCTCCCCCCGTGGGGCGAAAATGCTGGAACTGAGCACCGGTGGGGAGGCAGCTGAATGAGCCACAGCCAGCGGGAGACAGAGCGTTCTCAGGAAAGAGCTGGAGCCGGAACTTTGAATCATTGCCTCGTTGGAGCAGAGGTGAGCAGCTGGGAAACTTAAA